TCTAAAGAATCTAACTTGATTTTAATGGAAGAAATACGTGTTCGGGCTAACTTGTAAGAGATTCTTGAAATTCACAAAGTACTGTGGTGCAAAGCAATGCTTAGTAGGCAACAACAGTATGAAAGCTTGAAATTTGGACTTTGGTTGTGGGTAGATAGGAAAATTGCATATTCTTCTGTATTTCAGTGGCTTTTATTGTGTCTTTTGTATTGAATTTAGTCTGTTTAAGATATACATTTGTGAGGAAAGGTCTAGAGAAGAGATAATCTTAGTGTTACTAGTTTTTTTTAATTATTATTTGTAAAGCTGATCATGTGTTTAATAATCTGATCTGCAAGGAAGGGCCTCACTGGTTTATTATTTTCTGCCCCCCCTGTAGGTTTGCCTTTTGTCACTGCTCCGAATAAGTTTGAAGCTCTTGCGGCTCATGATGCTCTAGTTGAACTCAGTGGAGCTATGAACACAGTGGCATGTAGTCTGATGAAAATAGCTAATGATATTCGTTTTCTGGGTTCTGGACCACGTTCTGGACTAGGAGAACTCATCCTGCCTGAAAATGAACCAGGAAGCAGCATCATGCCAGGTACAGAGAAAACACACAGAGAAAAATTGCCTGGGTGGTTTTTTTTTGTTTTGGACCACTAACTGTTAACAGATATTTGCCAAACAAATGTCAGTTAGTTCATGATTCAACAACTCTGTCAGCTTTTATCTTCTGCCTTATTTTATCAAAATTTGTGTTCATAAAAATACTTGCTTGCACAGCTGTTTGTTGGGAAGCATTTGGTGGAAAGTTATTATCTATAAACATATACTATGACTTTATCAATACAAGCATACTTCTCAAAACCTTCAGGGAATCATGGAATTGTCAGAGTTGGAAGTGACCTCTAGAGACCATCTGGTCCAACTCCCCTGCTAAAGCAGGATTGCCTAGAGCTCATCACTCAGGACTGCATCCAGGCGGGTCTTGAAGATCTCCAGAGAAGGGGACTCCACGGCCTCCCTGGGCAGCCTGTTCCAGGGCTCTGTCGCCCTCACCGGAAAGAAGTTTTTTCTCATATTTAAATAGAACTTCCTATGTTCCAGCTTGTGCCTGTTGCCCCTCGTCCTGTCACTGGGGACCACTGAAAAGAGTCTGGCTTCATCCTCCTTTAACCCACCCTTTAGATACTTAAATGCATTAATAAGGTCTCCCCTCAGCCTTCTCTTCTCCAGGCTAAAGAGTCCCAGCTCTCTCAGCCTTTCCTTATAAGGGAGGTGCTCTAATCCCTTAATCATCTTTGTTGCCCTATGCTGGACTCTCTCCAGTAGTTCCATGTCCCTCTTGAACTGGAAAGCCCAGAACTGGACACAGTATTCCAGTTGTGGCCTCGCCAGTGTGGAGTAGAGGGGGAGAATGACCTCCCTCAACCCCTATTCTCGTCACACTCTTCCCTATGCAGCCCAGGATTCTCTTGGTCCTCTATTCACCTTCTTTTAGAATTGCAAGATCTCTATAGTGTAAAGACTTTTCTGAAGAAAGCTTTAAATGATCTAATCTATGAATTGTAGCAATATCACGATGTAAATGGACTTCTGTCTTTACTTCCTGACATGATTAGCATTATGTACTCACATATTCTCTCCTGCAATGATCTCAGTGTCTGGGAGGGTAAGAAAGAAAGGAATAATATTAGTAGCAGTTCCTTGCCTCTCTCCTAAAAAAAGTATGTGTATGTGAGTATTGTACATCCAAAACTGTTCTAAGTGTGTTCTTCCAGCATGATAAATTATGAAAAAACAGGTCGTGAGCATGTCTGGCTTTCAAAAAAAGCAGATAATGAGTTTTATTACTAGGATTATTTCTAGAAATAAAAGCAACCATAAAACTTTCTTGCTAGGAGGCCAATAATTTGTTTGGTTGGGTTTTTTTCTCCTGGTAAAGTAAACAAAGTGTATTAATTTTATTACAAAGTAATTCTAACAAATTAGTAATACTCTTCTTAAATTGACTGAAACTTGGTAATGATTTCCCAGAAATGTCTACTTCCGTGAATAAAGACAGGTTATAATCTCTTGACTATTAAGAACTGTGGTAATTAACAGCTGCTTAGTTCATGCACGTTTTATCCAGCTCTCAAAGCCTTGGTAGATTGCAAAAGCAGCAATAGCCACTTAAAAAATCTGAGCTGAATTACTGGAATAGTACAGTGAATTTAACATTATTTATGAAAATTATTTCTTTTCTGTGGTATACAGATACAGATAAGTAAGACATGTTACCTCCTACAAAATCTGCTGAATGGGATTTGGTGAATAAGGGAACTACTAATTTTTTACATTTCTATTTTTTTATTTTGGTAACCTTGTTCTCTCCCTTCTTCAACCAGGAAAAGTGAACCCAACCCAGTGTGAAGCTGTGACCATGGTGGCAGCCCAAGTTATGGGAAACCACGTTGCTGTCACTGTAGGAGGTAGCAATGGACACTTTGAACTGAACGTATTTAAGCCCATGATGGTAAGTTCATGAAGTTTTAAATACCTAGGACTTCTAAAATCATTGTTTGTACAATCAGGTAACTCAGGGTAAAAAACCTCAGTGAGTATTTGGCCAATACAAGCACCAGAGAGGCCGATAAAAGTGTGAGAAGGAATTTTATTCTTTTGTGTGGTAAGTCTCCGTTATTTTGACAGGGAACTGGCAATTTTTGCAGATAAGCTTTTATGTTAAAAATATAAGCTTATTGTCAGTCTAAGGAAGGAGGGAGAGAGGAACACAGAGACAAAATTTTGTCCAAAGCTGAAAAGAATTTGTTATTTTAGCTGAAAATGAGGATTTTTTTTCTTTAGCAACTGTCTGTTACTAATTTCTGTTACTGCTGAATACTAAAGGATTACATGCTGTTGGCGAGTTATGTGAAACTGTAAATTATTAGTACTAGACTTCAGTATCTAAAATAACGTCTGCCTTCTACAGTGTGAGCAGAGTACACCAAGATACACACTGTGTGCAAGATGTTGAAGGAATAGTATAGATGTTAGTGTAGGGATGGTAGTTTAAAAAGAATGAAGGTGAGTTATGGAAAAGATCCAAATATTCAATAGAAATAACAAGAAAGTTTTTGAGGTTTTGTCATTTTGTTAAAAATAAGAGGCACAAAGGGAGCAGCATGTCATTTTTCTACACAGCCTATACTGACTGATACTGCTTTTTTGTTATGCTAGTAAGAAATCTTATAATAAAATCAGTATTTGTCTCTTCCTTGCTGTGTCTGTTTAGGTACTGTTTTTTTCCCCTCCATCTGAACAAACTTCTAAGTTTACAGCACCCATTTTTGACAAAAAGTCCTATTGAACAGCCAGGAGATGTACCCAGCAGAAGATAAATTTTAATAGAAACAGACACCTCTCAAAAAAAAAAAAAGTGGCATGTTATAGAATGTTAAAGTAGAGGACTAATGCCAGAGATTATTGTACTTTACATTTTTAGATGTCTTCTCTTGATTGGTACCTGAGAGGGGAAATGGCAATGAATTGCATGCCTTCATGTGGTTTTTACTCATTTATTTTTGAATGGTTACAAGAAGATGATGATACATACAGCGCTCTTCTTAATGCAAGAATTCTTCTGCTATTGAATGCTTCTTGCAAATTCTTTTAAACACGAGTGGCTGCGCTTACCCTGCAAAGGCAGGAGGGTGCACTGCTCACTGTGCTCCTTTCCTACAAACAGCCCATTAAAAAGGTGGATATTGAAAAGAGGTGGATATTGAAAATACTGAAAGGAGGGTGTAGAGAGGAGGGGGTCGGTCTCCTCTCCCAAGTCACAGGCGACAGGACTAGAGGAAATGGCCTCAAGTTGTGCCAGGGAAGGTTCAGGTTGGATATTTGGGAAAATTTTTACACTGAAAGGGTTATCAAGCGTTGGAATGGGCTGCCCAGGGAAGTGGTTGAGGCACCATCCCTGGAGATGTTCAAAAGGTGGGTTGACATGGTGCTGGTTTGGTGATTTAGTGATGTTTTTTTTGTCAGAGTTGGGTTGATGGTTGGACTAGATGATCTTGAAGGTCCCTTCCAACCTAAATGATTCTATGATTCTATATTGGGCCGTGCAGCCATCCATGTCTGAAGATAACAGTTGTTACTTCTTTCTTTCTTGTCAGATTAAAAACGTTTTAAACTCTGCAAGACTCCTTGGAGATGTTTGTGTTTCTTTCACTGACAACTGTGTGGTGGGAATCCAGGCCAATACAGACAGGATCAACAAACTGATGAGTGAATCCCTGATGTTGGTAACTGCACTTAACCCCCATATCGGTAAGTTTAAAGCTCAGGAGGATCTCAAAACATTATACTGAAATATTTTGCACACATTATTTGTATTGCCATAACGTTTAGGAGACCAAGTCATGACTCAGGACAAAATGTAATTTATATTAACATCACCAACTAGTATTACTGGTGAAAAATACGTGTCCTCCCTGCAGAGGCCACACCAGTGCGTTATAAATAAAGATAGTTCTGATGAGAATCAAAAGGAAAAAAAGGAGTTTGGGAGCACTGATCACAGGTGCAGCTCGGCTGGTTGCTCACCGCTGCCTGCAGATGCCTAGCTTGCTCCTTCTGCTTTGTTGCAGGCTACGACAAAGCCGCCAAGATTGCCAAAACGGCGCACAAGGAGGGGACGACGCTGAAGGAGGCGGCCATAAAGCTGGGCATCCTGACGTCGGACCAGTTTGATCAGTGGGTGAAGCCTAAGGACATGCTGGGTCCTCAGTAACTCCTCTACAGGGAAAAAAAGAAAAAAAAAAAAGTGTTCTTAACATAAACCCCAAATAAATTAAATAAAACAAATAGGACATGGTTTCATTTCACATCTCACGCCCGAAGGCTCCCGGGGCCCTTTAAATCGGTTCTGGGCGCGCCCCCCGGCGGCCAATCAGCGCGCCGCCGTGCAGAGGAAGGCGGAAGTGCGGCTGCGCACCGCTGTTGCCAGTGCTTCCGCCTTCGCCAGAGCACCGCCTTGGGGGCGGCACCGGGCGGTCCGCTTCCGGGTCGGCGGGGATCGTTACCGAAACCGGGACCGAGACACAGACACAGCCGCCGCCATGAACCGCTTTTTCGGCAAAGCGAAGCCTAAGGCGCCTCCGCCCAGCCTCACCGACTGTATCGGGACGGTGAGTTGCTCACCCCGGGGCGCCAGGCCCGACGCTGCGCTGCTCGGCCCGGCCGCCGCCTCGGCAGGGACAGAGGAGCGGCGGGGCGGCACGGCCAGACCGGCTGTGGAGCGGGCCCGGCCGGGCAAGGCCCTCCGCCCGCGCCGGAGCCTGGGCCCCGGGCCTGCGCCCCCGCGGGCCGAGCCTCCGCTAGTGGGGGTGCGGGTGTGGAGCTTGGAGCGCGAGTGGCTGCGTGCCCGTGGGCCTGCCCGTACGCGGAAGTGACCCGGAGGGACGGGGGGTGCGTGGGCCGGTTTGGGGGTGTGTGTGCGTGGCAGTGCCTGTCTGTGTGTGGAAACACAGCTGTGTGCGGGCACGGCGTCTGCGTGTGTGTTTGTGTGTGTGTGTGTGCGCTGTGGTTTAACTCCAGTCAGGGCCGTGTAGCCGTTCCCTCACTCCCCCTGGGATGGGGGGAGAGAATTGGGACAGTAAAAGTGAGAAAAAAATCTCTTGGGCTGAGGTAAAGACAGTTTAATATTTAAAGCAGGAGCCGCACAAACAAGCAGAGCGAGACAAGGAATTAATTCACTGCTTCCCATCAGTAGGCAGGTGTCCAGCCATCTCCAGGAATGCAGGGCTCCATCGTGTGTAATGGGTACTTGAAAAGACGTGACGTCATGCCACCACTCCAAATGTCCCCACTTCCTCATTCTTCCCCAGCTTTATGTACTGAGCATGACATCACATGATATGGAGTATCCCCTTGGTCAGCTGGGATCAGCTGTCCCGGCTGTGTCTCCTCCTTGACTTCCTCTGCATCCCCAGCCCGTTCACTGGTGGGGTGCTGCGAGGAGCAGAAAAGGCCTTGACTGCTTGGCAACAACCAAAACCATCAGTGTGCTATCAACACTGGTCGCATCCTGAATCCAAAGTGTAGCCCCAGATCAGCTGCTAGAAAGTCAACACCATCTCAGCTGGAACATGACAGATATATCTATATGTACACACACACACTTGGATGTACATGGCTGTGCTTTGGTATGGTGTGTTTGTATGTGTGCACACATGTATTTTAGCGTGCACCTGTGCATCAGCACATGCAGGAGTGTATGCATACACTGGGCTGCACATTTGTATGTATATACACCCAATGTCTATTTTTGTTTCCTATGTGTAGGAGTATATCCCATACATAGATGCACACAATGTGTGTGTAAGGCCTGGCTCTCCTGATGTCCTCATGGATATTTTCAGTATTTACTGCGCCACCTAACTCCTGCCATTCCACGTTGTGGGAAAGCAGGGGCAGGAGCAAGGGAACCAGCCCCTCTGTCTAGTACAAGACATGGGAGGGCAAATCCCACCCCAATGAAGATTTTTCCTTGTGCCACAAACAAGCTTACTGTAGGGTCAGTGGCGGAAATATGTGTAGATGAACAATTAAACACGCCCAGACCATGAAAGAAACACTGAGGATGCAGGTAGTAGAACACTCCACAGATGTTGTGATGTTGGCCTGTCTTAAAAGAAGATCAAGGAAAAGTTTTAAGAAGGCTAATCTTGTCATTTCATAATCTTTTTTTTGGGGGGGCTTTGATGTTTCTGAAGAAAACCATGGTATGTTTTTACAGTTCCTTCTGTTGTAAACTAATTTTAAAAGGTGAAAAAAGAACCTAGAGGTCTTCAGTATTTGTCTCAGTGGTTAACAAAGTCAGGTGAAAGGTCAGTAATGGTTGTGGTATAAATGGAGGTTAACTAAGGCTAACTAGGCATTGTCATTGGAACCTGACAACAAAAAGCTTCTGTGGAAAATCGCAATTTTCTTCCCAGAAGATTTATCATGCTATGCAGTGAAGAGACTCTCTAAGTTAAATACCTAATATTTGTTAGTGCTACCTACACAAACCCATGCACATCAGTTTTTTGCATATGTCAGTGGCTGGCGTTTGGAGCAAAGTGGTCATAGTCAGTGTTTTTCACAGTATTTTATTTTATTGACGAAGGATCTGTATTGCTTTCTAGCAGTATTAAGCCCAAACATAGCTCCCAGTATGCTTAATTAGAAAAGTAAATAAAGCATGCGCTTGAAAATCAGGATTGGCTTTCCCATTGTTACCAGTAAATGCTTTGGTGGTTGGCTAGAACTCCAAAATCCACTGAGATACTGTTATTAATACTTAAATTTTCCATTTTGGTAATACAAGCTGAATACCAGGAAACCTACTCACAACCAACTCCGTATTTGTCTGCTAGATTTTTCAGGGCTGATTTTGCCCGTTCCAAGTTAATGGGCATTTTTTAATGTTGAGGCAAATCAAAACAAAATTTAAATATGCCAGAAGGCTGTCTTCTACTAAGAGCTTGTTCAATCCCAGTGGATTTTTGGGGTACATAAAAGTGCAACTTAAGCAGCTGCTTTGTTTGGCAACACCAGGAATTTAGGAATTTTTCCAAAAAAGTGGTTGTCAATACCACCCCCAGGAGCTGCATGCAGTTTTGATCCTTTTCTAGTTGTTTGTAATTACATTCTCTGAAAAATTTGCTATATAAGACAGCAGGTTAACTGAAAAGTTTATTTTATGTATGTAATGATTTTGGCAACCAATGATGAATTACAGGGTGGGTTTTTTTAGATAACGAAATCAAGAGCCTGAGTTGGTCAGCTGCTGAGAGATAAAGGGCTGGTTCCAAGCACAGCTCTTTGGTGCTAAGAAGTCCCTAAACCACCGTTACTGTCACTGAGCTCTATGTTACCTTTTTGCCATGTTTTTGACATCTTTCAATTTCTGTGGATGGAACAAAAATTTAAGACAGTTGTGTATAGTAGTAAGCGTGGGGGGGAAACACACTTTTTTTCACAAGTTCAAAGTTCATGAATTGGATTACTTCATGTAAATTGGTGCAAAAAGTTATCAGATTTGTTAAAGACTTGCTCTATTTTCAGCTCATTTTCACAATAGTGAAGTCACTAGTATAGGTCCTGCTGCAGGACTGGAGATACCATTAGGTTTTTTGCTTAAATTGCACGTGAATTACTATTAATGAGAGTTGTGTGAGATAATAGAAAACTTGCTCTGTTTCTTTGCCATGTTAAATTCAACAGTTTAACATCACTTCTGTGATGTTTTCAATCTTAGACATGTTTCATTGTACCTTTGGAAAGAGTCAGATTGCTTTGTAAAATTTCTTACCATGTTAGTTCAATAGTAATTAGCCATTAAATGGCAGTTAGGAATTATTGTATTTGGTGAGCAATGATTAATGTTCATAGTCACCATTTGTTAAAAATATAGACGACTCTTAGGCAGTAATTATGCCTATGTTTTGGCTGTTCTTTCCTGTCTATGCAGAAGTAGTGTGACTGAACCCAGTAAGATCAGCACACAATAAGCTTTTTTGTCCTATGGTAAGAGAAGGAGCATCACTTTAAGATACCTAAACAATTCAGTATTTTTTAATTTAAAGAGCGGGTTGTGTGGGATTTGTAATCCGAAGTGTTTGGAGAAACCCAGGAAACACTTCTCCATAATTTTCTTTGATGGCTGGTTGCTGTGGAGTTTTCGGGCTGGCTGTGTGATGCCCTCCTGCCTCCCCACTTACTCCCCATGGGTATGATCCCGCTCTCCCTTGTGGTTTCTGCTTGCTCCTTGCCGTGCTTGCCTCAACGTTGCGCTGAGTGGCAGTTTCTTTTAGTCCTCGCTGGCTGAGCACAGTCAGATGACTCAAAGCTGTCATGAGGAAGGATGCATCAGAAACTGTGGCACTGGTCTTGTTTTTACTTTTTTTTCTTTGAAAAAGCACTCCAAATTCATGTTTTTTCAGAGTAGTCAGTGGGAAACATGGGATAGAAAAGCTAATAATTTACAAACGGCTAATAGTGACAACAGTATTAAAATTCAGTCTTATATGTGATTATTTTAATTGAAATAAGCTGCCATTTTGCTTAAAAGGGATTTGGGATACCCCAGTCACTTCTGTTTAGATTGGGGCCCTTCTGTAGCAATGAAATGTACCTCAGTATGCCTTATTTGTGAATAACAGAAAGCAGCTCTTCAAGTTTTAATACACAATCTAGTTTTCTTTTGGATAAATTTGATCTGTCCTCCCCTCTTCAGTCCGTTCTCATTTTTAAAAACTATGTCCTGAGTAATGTGTGTGTGAAATTTTCATGTAGTTAATCAATGTAGGAGGATCTGTATCCATTTCCTGCTACTACTGCTTAAGAAAATCTTTATATAAATAAACCAAGAAATGAGTTTTCCCCTGTGAAGGACGCCGGTGAAAGATCTTGACCGAGGTGCTACACTTTGAACCTACAAGAGCTTTAAAATCACAACTATTTATGTCTTGCTATCAGTAAAATATTTGACACAATAGAAAGCTTAATACATTTTTTTCGATGCCAGCTGTGCCCAGGCACGTTAACGTCATGTGTGGAGCGTTCATATCAAATGTTCTGGTCAAGATGCCTCTGGCAAATGTATGTTGCTGTCATAGAGTAGAGATTTGAAAGGATTATTGAGACACCAAAATCAAAATGCGCATCATTATACATGTTTAGCCGTGCTATTAGCAAGTCAGACTTGCATATTTGCACTGATAGGTCTTGTGCTATAATTGGAATGTAATTATATTCTAATCCCTAGAGAGCCTCCTTGGAATGAGAAGTTAATAAGCTTTATTCTGTTTCCAGAGAAATGCTGTAATAGTTGGTTCATGTTGAGGAGGTTTTCTTTTGTTTTTTTATGAATTTGTATATGCTGTTAGAACAATCTGTACCCATGCTTGGCTATGTAATTATCTTTTTTAACCCTCTTACACAGTAGGGTTAAAATCTCCCCATAATGACAGCTCTGTGATGTGCTGTGCACCAGGGCTGTTAGGACTTTTGCTGGAGATCTCTTACTGAGCTATGTGGCTACTGTTGGGATTTGGAACAAAAGTGCAGTAAGGATTTGGAGCAGCTACCAGGTGGAACTGCTGTGTCCTGTCTTCCTTGCAGGAAGTGATAGAAAAACTGTCACTCTAAAAAAAAAAAAAAAAAATCCTTGAAAAAAATGGTTGTTAAATTTGGGCTTCTTATATATAATTGGTAATCTGGGTATCATTCTGAAGGATTAATGTTCTCTGACCACCAAAAATAAACCTTTAGCCTTGCTGAACATGTCCCTGTCACTTTTCCATTGCTCCTTTATCTGCCATCATTCTGCACTTAGGTTTTTCTTTTTCCATTCTGGTTTAGTCCCTGGCACTGTATGTCATCAGAAATTCCTGAATAGAGACCATGACTTGAATGAGGGTACAAGGAAGCATCTCAAAACAGTGAAAACGTGTTACAATGGCAGAGATTCCTGCAACCTCAGAGTAGTTCTTTTGTTTCTTGTAGAAGGTGTTTCACTTGATTCTCTACAAACTTTCAGCTGTTTATAAAACATACTGAGTGAAGAAACAATTCCGTTAGAAACATAACAAAACTGAGGCTGTTCATTTTATTGCCAATCCTGGAGTAAAACTTAATGGTTTTCTGTTTGTTTTCCCCATCTTGTATTAAAGGTGGATAGCAGAGCTGAGTCAATTGACAAGAAAATTGCTAGGCTTGATGCAGAACTGGTGAAGTATAAGGATCAAATGAAGAAGATGAGGGAGGGGCCTGCAAAGGTAAGAATCTTCTGTGGCATGTAAGCATGAGAGGATGTGACTCACGCTTCTTGTCGTGTGGTGGAGTGATGTAGCCAGTTCATCAGGTTCTTAGAATTGCATCTTGCCCTACTGATGCTGCAGAATTATTTTAATTCTCAAGCATCTCTTAGACACGCATCTTTGATGTCTTAATTGGTTTTTATTTCTTCCCAAGTGTAATGTAATTCCCCAGTCAGAAGTAACTTGCTTCCCTTCTTCTGTTACCTGAATTAAGTCTGGTAGAGAGGCTGTTTCTTTCATCCGCCAAAATAAAAAGGTCTCCACTAGGCAGAAAGGGGGTAGGAAAATCCATTTTTGAAAGGGCATGAACATATATTACAAAAAACTACCTAATAATAAACGTATCTAATTTTTATTTAATAATAAACATATATTATATAAACAGTATAGTTAAAATACATTTGGTCTGATTTGACACTGACCCTGAAACGTGTTCACGAAAGATGGTTCTGATGGACTAAGTCTGACTTTGTATTCTGCTTATCAAAAAAAAAAAATATTCAAAAGTCAAAAACTTTGAAAGTATTTGCTTTTAGAAGCTTTATATACAGGCCTATTTGGTGAATCATTAATGTAGGACAAACGCTGAATGTGACAATTGTTAAACTCTTTGCATTAGTAACTGAGGAATCTTTTGGAAAACTTGAATGTGATACATTAGATTTGAGCAGCAGAATCCAGAGAAAAGTCAAATACTTTTCCTAAAGCAATATTGTGTCTTTCAGAATACAGTAAAGCAGAAGGCATTGAGAGTGTTGAAGCAGAAGCGAATGTAAGTTTCAACCTTCATCAGTTTGGGATTAATGAAATCCTGTTTTCTTTAAGGGGAGTGGCACACTTTCATTTCTCTTTCCAGTACTCTTGCTTTTGAGCATTCTTAAAAATGCTGAATAAGCTGGCCAGCCTTTCAGAAGCATCTCATTACAAATTATGCATCAGCATCTTTGTGCCTTATTTGTATGTGAGCGTATAAATTTGGATTGGGACAAGCTGACCTAAATCTTCTCATTACTAAAGCTATTCTTGGCTCCTGAACTTTCTGAGAGTTTGCCTCATTTTATATCAATTGACTACTATGAATTGTGTACTTCATAATCTTGTTCTGGTTTACTGGAAATGTACCTGTTCTCTTTGGACACCTTTTAGGACTTGAACACGTATAGCGCAGGTAATTCTGTCTATGCAACAAACCAGAATAAATATGATAAGTGATCCTGTGGTCCAGACTGGCCTGCTATACTGTCTTGAAACGTGTCCAGCAACAAATACAAAGGAAAGAATGTCAGAATTATTGTTCATTTTTATGCTTCATTTATATGTTCAACGTGGAGTATTTTACATTCTTGATTGGATACAAATTTAGCTTTGAGAAGGATGATTTATCGATTTCTAAAGTCTTCTTTTTCTTTTTAGTTAGCTATAAAAGTTTTCTTTTTCTACCCTATATCCTTCTCTCCCAGCTCCCTGCCCTGAAAGCTGTAGTGCAGAGCCTTTGTGGTTTGGATAACCTGCATCTCTTCCATTCTGCTTACAGCATTAGTGAGCAGTGGTGTGTATCTCTAGCTTATAGGGGTTTATATACCTAGGATTTGTTTATAGCAAACAAATCTGTGCTATATCCTTACTGACTGTGGAAGCCTATACAAATACAGTATCACCGTCAGTAAAACAAAAGCTTAGTTCAGCTTGTCGACTTTAAATGCATAGAAATGCATAATGGCCAGATTTTTATTAAGCTATTTATTCTCATGTGATTGTTTATAATTTTTTTTTAATACTCCTTTCCTATCGCCAGACTGCTGCTGCTGATTTTTTTTCTATTTAAAAAAAAAAACTAAGAATTTTCGTGGCAATAAATACTGGTGTTTTAAAGCCAATATTTGCATTGTTTTTAACAGGTATGAACAACAGCGGGATAATCTATCACAGCAGTCTTTTAACATGGAACAAGCTAATTACACTATTCAGGCACTGAAGGATACAAAGACAACGGTACCAGTATATTAATCTCACATTTTTTTGAACTTGTGTATGCTACATCAGATACAAGCATGTTGATTGACTTTATTCTAGGTTGATGCAATGAAACTGGGAGTGAAAGAAATGAAGAAAGCTTACAAGCAAGTCAAAATTGATCAAATTGAGGTAAGCTTCTATAGTTTAAATTATTAAAGGGCAGAAATAGTGTGCGGAAATAGCAACAAGGGGACTATGTAACTTAAAGATAAGCTGACTGGTTTAGTTCACATGAGTTTGCCTCCCTTCTTTTTGTCCTCCTTCGCCCTCTCATGTTGCTGCTCTTATGTGCAGATTAGTCCTTTGCTCCCCTAGTGCATGGTAGTACCATATTAAAAAAAAAAAAATTGCAAACAAAAAAAAAATATTTAAAGAGGTCTGCAAGACCTTGCCCTGTCTTCAGAAGCTGCAGTTTAAAAATGTAAGATCTTTAAATATAATTTTAAATATGCTGCACTTAAACTCTTATCAAATGTCAGTGCTGAATTCCTTTAAGTTCTCTTTCCCAAGCACAGTGCCAATAGGTATGTTAAAGTAGCTTTGAAATTTTGCTGTGGCACAACTCAAGCTAGTGCTTATTCTCTGGGCAGTAGTTTTAATTTCTCTAGATTCAAGATAATGCTGAACTGTGGATAATTTATTGGAGGCTTTCGTTTTACCCTGAATAATGGTTAAAACAAAAAACTAAGAGTTCTGCAGAGTTGTTGTATCAAGATTCCTCTTTTTCTACCTCATACATTTATTATAATCTTAACATTAATTAAGGCCACACTATAGTACTTGATTTGACTTGTATTAATACATGTGACTTGACTTGTATTAATACTGACCCAAAAAATGGTTTATGCATTAAAAAATGTGAGTGCCTTGTATGTTAGATTTATTAAACTGAATTTGATTAAGCTTTGATAAATTTACCTAAAACTATTAAATATGGACCAGTTGAAATTTTTTCTTGCTCCAGGACATACAAGATCAGCTAGAGGATATGATGGAAGAAGCCAATGAAGTCCAGGAAGCGCTGAGTCGCAGCTATGGAACACCGGAGATTGATGAAGATGACTTGGAAGCAGGTTAGGAAGCTGGAGGATGATTTTTACATGACTGAATGTAAAAATCATCATACAGTCATACAGTTATTTTTAATTTCATTAGTCAAATACTTTTAAGTGTGTTTAAAAACAAAAGTTTCAAACACTTTTTTAAACGTGAAAGCTGCGTTTCCTTTAAGGGCAGTAACAGGAGTATGAGACAAACATGAGAGACACACTAATGGAGTGCTACAGTGAAGGAAAGTTCTCTGTAGTTCGTGTGTGTCAGTGTATTCTTGATTGATGACTAAGTAATATTAAATGATTGTGAATGTAGGCATTAAGTATGAATACTGTTTCTCTGTAAGAGCAACTTTTCTTTTGCCAAAGGAATTCCTTGCATAATTTTTCAACCAACATAATTCAATTTCAGAACTGGATGCATTAGGTGATGAGCTTTTAGCCGATGAAGACAATTCCTACTTAGATGAAGCTGCATCTGCTCCAGCAATCCCAGAGGTCATTCCTACTGATACGAAAAACAAAGTGAGTCCTTTCCTCTTCAAAAGCAAATTACATGGGGTTTCTTTTTTTTTTTTTTTTTTGATTAATCACATTTGTGTTGGTTGCTTGATATTTGGAGTCCTTAATATTTTGAACAAAAAAAGGTGCTTAATGTTTTATGTATTTTGGTTGCTATATGTGAGAGAGTGTGGTGTACTGAATGCTCTTTAGTATATTTTTAGGTGTTTTGTAACTCCTATCTAACATTGTCAGACTGCAGGTAGAATTTAAGTGTACCATTGCAGCTCCTAGTATAGTTATTCTTGAAAACATAAGGAAGTCTTCTGTCTGTTTGCTTTTGGGGCTTCATAGTGAGGAAGGGCATTGATTCTCTTATTTTGATCCCAGCTGTCACACAGTGAAATTACAGATCTATCACTTTACAGAAAGCGTAAGGAAACTGAGGTGAAATGTTCTGGTTGTTGGAGAGTGGTTAACCTGTTGCTACTTTTTCCTTGTTACAGGATGGTGTGTTGGTGGATGAGTTTGGATTGCCAAAGATCCCTGCAACATAAATGTTTCAAAAGCACAACGGATACTGTGGACTGTACAAATCAAATTAAGATTTTTTTCTTTTTTCTTTTTAACTCCTGGAGACCTTGTCCTTCCAGTGTAACCTTAATATCACTACATGCTAGAGCGCAATATGAGTAATGGCTGGCGGTGTTCTTTCTCTGAAGAAAGTTGTTCTACTACTGACTTTTCTATTAACGGACAATTCGGCACAGTTCCCTTCCGCGGCAGCAGCCAGTCCCACGGGGTTCCTTTGCCGTGTCTCCTGGACAGAGCCAGGCGTGGGGAGCGGCGGTGGCTGGCGGTACCCGAGGTTTATTTTGACTCCGTGTGACGTTGCTCTGTCTCGCAGCGGGGCCCGCTGCCTGCCGCCTGCTCTCCGTGAAACGCCTCCCTGTCGCGGTGCTTCTTTGATACGAGAATCAAAAGCGATTTTTAAACTCCGGCAGCGCGGAGACCGGGATGCTGTTGTGCTTTGTCGCCGCCTTTTAACGCTGTAATTAACAGGCTGTAGCGTCACCCTTGTGTGTTCTGTGGAGACATAAAATCACGTAGATGAGCCGAGTCCTTTCTCTGGCGTTTCTGGTCATTCATTTGCCCTTATCCCGCGCCCCCCGCCGCCGCTCCGGGACCCCAAGCGCTTAATTGTTCCCTCTCATTACAGCCCCGACCCCTCCCCGCTGTCCCCCCCGCCGGTGACGTCGTCATACGTCACCCCTGTGCGAGGCCCCCGTCCCCGCTCACCCGGCAACGTCACTTCCGCCCCACGCCCCTCTCCCGCCTACCCGAGGAGCGGAAGTGACGCGCTGCCGGCGCGCCCCGCCAGGCGCCCGCGGGAGGGTTTCCCTGTGGCGGTGTGAGATGGCGGCGCCCGGAGCCCCCGTTACCGTCACCGTCACTTACAGTAAGAGCCGCCCGGGGAGGGGGATTCCTACAGCCAACCGAGCGGAGCGCGGCCCGCGGCGTCTCCCCCGCCACCTCTCACCGCCGGGACCGTGCCGGTCGGGCCGCGCGGCCGCCCTTCCCCCGCCGCCCCCGCGCCCCACGGCCGGTAACGGTAGCCCGGCACGGCGGGGCGGGCCCGCACCTGCCCCCGGCGGTATGGATGAGGCGGAAAGGCGCCCGGCGGCGGCCCGGAGCGGTGCGGGGGCTGCGTGACTGCCTTTGGCGCCCGAGCGGCTGCGGCTCCGCAAAGCCTCGAGGAGACGGAAAATGGCGGGGCCGTCGGCTGGGGGGCGGCAGCGTCCCCGGGCTCGATGGGCCAGCGGTCGGGCCTGCCTCGGCCTCGCGGGGGTTCGGCTCGCCCTCCGCTTAGCCTGGCCTCGGGGCTGCCTCCGGCCGTAAGGCTCCGCGCCTCCACTGGCCACATCTCCCTACTCTCTCCCTTAAACTGATCCATTAGAAGGGTTAAAAAAAAAAAAAGC